CATTTTTCAAATTGTTAAATACATTGGCTCTTGAATCGATGCTATCATTTTTCACATTGTTAAATACATTGGCGCTTGAATCGATTTCAACATGTCTCTCATTGCTTAACATGTTGGCTCTTGAATTGATATCATCATTTTTTACATTGTTAAAGATATTGTATTTTGAATTGATGTTAACATTTTTCACATTATCAAATGCATTTGCTTTTGAGTTGATGTTAGTGTGTCTTACATTGTCAAATATATTAGTTCTGAAGTTAGCACATCTTACATTGTCAAACTTATTTGTTTTCATGTTGATTTGAAGATTTTCAAATTTTAAGCCAAACATATTATCTGAACTCGATTTGGCGTGGATTGCTTTAGATTTGRCAAATTCTCCATTTTGAAGAATCATGTTCACCACACTTTGGATTCTATCTTTTACAGCACGATGGCTGTATTCCCCTGTCAACACACTTTCTAAGCTCTCCCAGTAGTTGTCCAAGTTTACACCTGATGACCCGGTGATGACCCGTAGTAAGTTAACAGTCTGGCTGTCTCGGTATGGTTTCAACTTCTATAAATTGGAGACAGAAAAAAAAAACATTTTAATAAATTAAAAAGATAGCAGAAAATTACGCACAATAATAATTTCAATTTTTCATCAAATGTACTTGAGACCAACTTTCCCACTTTTTTGATATTTTGATTTTTACATCTCCAAAAATTGAAACACTTTAAATTTTTAGGCATAATATAAAGAATGTAAGTTATTTATTTGCTTACAATAAGAAGAGAGACATGAGACCAGTTAGTTATCTCTAAGTTAGGTTTCACAGATTGTATATGGTGTGATCATGATTTAAGGTAACACTAAATATATTAGGTGGATGACCTTGTATTGAAATGGGGTTTTGGAGACATGATAGGAAGTACCTAAATGCATATTTGCAGATAAAATTCAAATTTTTAAATATTTCAAATATTAAATTATAATTTAGTTGTTACTCTGTAGATTGTATACAATAAGTAGTATTGTCATACTTTAGATTAGTTATATAGTTATACTTTCATAAAGAAGGCAAAAATGCAAAGATGATATATTTTCAATATTGTGTGTATGTGGCAGTTAGTAATATTAGCTATAGTATAATAATGTGCACAGTTTTTTTTTTACATCAGTCAAGATATGCGACTCGTTGCTGATATACGTTTATTACAATTATATTATTATTATTATTCACTGTAGTAAATTTTGTTTATTAATTTAACTTATAAATTGTCTGGATTACTTTATTAATTTATTCCATTCAACATTAACATTTTTGGCGTGAGCATGAGCAATATAGCTTACATTTTTTTATAATTTTTTTCAACATACAGTAATCCCTCGTTATCCGCGGAGGTTAGGTTCCAGCAAAGTTGCGCGAATATCGAAACCACGGATAACAACACCATAAAGCAATGTAAAACAGGAAGTTAGGTTAGGTTTTTACTACAATTTTTAATTTTTATTATTTTGTATTTAATTTTAAAAATCACAAAAAGGTTAATATGTTTTACAATTATTTGATTATCAATTTTTTTAATATAATTTATTAATTATTTATACATACATAAGATATAACAATTTAATTATATTTAACAAATTTTAATTTAATTTAACATATTAAGGCATGTGCTTTAGGTAGCTTATCTGTTATAAGTATGGGTATAATAAAGATGAAATTTCATCGTATGTATTAATAAAATGTTATCGCCGACCAAATTTTTAATCCACGGATAACATGGAATTACTGTATTCGTATAGATTATTTATACATTTTTTTCTATTTACAAAACTGACCAAGTTAGAGCAAGTCAAAATTTGRATTTATGCATAATTCGTGTTTAATGACATTTTCATTAAGTCTGTGGTGTTACCTTAAATCGTGATCACATTGTATATTGAAATATAGTTACGTACTTGTTTCAATTCCTTTAGGCGAAGGTTGTATTTAATACTCTTCTTGCATTTCCGATTCATATTGGGATGCTGTCTGTGAAATTTATGGTACAATCTAAAAACACGCAAAAGTTCTGTAGTATCGCAAATATAATATTATGAAACAACTAATGTGAGACCGCCGTTGATCTTACATACTATTATGCAGTAGTTTTAAGGTTCTCACCGTTAACATAGGAAGGATTCAATAATATTCAATCCCGTTTCCGCTGTCACATAGGTACTCTACTCGTCTACTCACATGGCTAATGGCTACCTAGCGAAGTCATCCATATTACATAGCTACTTTAATCATAAAATTTTGTGCCACAGTAAATATGCACAAACGCCACAAACGACAAATAATTACTGGTTATCGAATCAATAACCAGGTTATCAAATCGATCAAAATTTGGACTGTTGCCATAGATAATATATAATGGATATTATCTATGACTGTTGCACAAAGGACCAATACGTCTTATCAATCCAATAAATATTGTGTTATCGGTTCGATATGTTGTAGTCTGAAGACCCGATTTCGGTTCGATAAATATTCAAAAGAGTTCTATAACTTTATTTGCCTGATAAGATGGAATTATTTTGTGAATTTRTGATAATGTAATATTATTTATCACTTAATCAAGTATTTTTAAAACTTCAACTGTTCAACTAAAAACTATATTCTCTGCTTACTGCTTAGGTAAGTTGAAGTCTGTCATTTACAGTTCACTAATTCGAATTTCAAAGTCAGTGTAAGTCAGAAGTACCAGTGGGTAGTTTCTCCTCTTGCCATTATCAAAGTAGTCATGTATTTATTATCATCATTGTCGAATTCCCATAAAGAACATGATGTGCTTAAGAGGACGCTACACCCGCATGTGTTGTCTCCGTCTTACAAGTACGTAACATTGCAAAAACTGTTTCGCGSGGGAAAGAACCGAGAAGGCTACATTCATAACTAAAAAACGAAATTCTCACCACAGATAAAAGGGAATTTCGACTGTGCAACGTTGTTTTTATTTTTTTGATATTAGAACTGAAAAAAAAGTTATTCGATTTTGAAAAATGCATAAATAATGCATTTTGAAACAATAAGAACTTTTTTTCTATTTGTGATATCGAAAAATTGAAAACAACGTTGCACAGTAAATGTTCTCCTTATTATGTGGTGAAAATTTCGTTTCTTAGTTATAGCTGTAGCCTTCTCGGTTCTTTCCCCCGCGAAACAGTTTTTGCAATGTTACGCACTTGTAAGACGGAGACAATACATGCGGGTGTAGCGTCCTCTTAAGGTTTTGAATTTTTGATAAACCTTCCTCGACCACGATTATACAGAGATCGTTTTAATCCTCTTGAAAATTATGATGATTTAGATTTCAAAAATAGATTCTGGTAAGTTTATATTAGGGTTAACAGGGGTAAATTTAAATGGTTTTGACAAAGTTTACCTTAATATAAACACCCTTATACCTTATGGTTTACACATGTTTGGAAATGTAATAATATTATGTAAACATTTTCTAGCAACTATACTTTGGAGTCTTATAAAAACATTATTCACTTCACAATATTACATTTACATTTGCCCCATTACAATTTAAAAAATAAAAATTTATTCTGACATCAATCATGAAATAATAATAAACGTACAATGTGTTTTTTTAAACATCTTAAGAATGTATCTAACATGTTAACATTTACCTAAGTTGACCCTGTTATTACCATCCTATAACTGTGTTTATAATTAATATTGGGTTGGATTTTAAATAAAAATAATTACAAATTATTAGAGATGTTACGAACTGTTTGATTTTAGAACCGAACCAAATATCTAATCGTTCGATAATCGTACCAGAGAAATAAAAATAAAAGTTGATGGAGTAACGGCTAAAATTATAAATTATTATTAAATAATTAATAATTTATAGATTAATATTAGTTGTTTAATGTTTGCTTGTTTTAAATATTGATGTTTTTCGTTTTTTCTTATTCTTATCAGTTATCATCATATTAATAATTAAAAATCTCATGCATAATAATTATTAACTATTAAAGTATTTAAGTAAACAGTTGTAAAATCTTTATTCAATAATCCTGAGGTATGGTGACTAAATGATAAATAAATAAATAAATAAATAAATATTAAATATTAAATAAAATAATATCCAATTTAACTTTTAATGTTCGGTTCGAGTTCAATAAAATATTTGAAGAGTTTGGTTAGGTTTGGGTTCGATTAAAAGTGTGTAGATTCGGATCTGTTCGAGTTTGGTTCGGGTTCGATTCGACCTTAAATATTATGGTTCGTAACATCTCTAAAAATTATGTATACCTCATAGGTTAACGAAGAATACCTAGTGGTTGGGGGCGGGGATGAGGTAGGAGATAGTTGTACACTAGGGGTAGAAGTAAAGATACCTTTGGGTTTCAATATTTATATAAATTTATATTATATTATAATATATGTTATGTGTATAGATATAATATATATTATATATAAGATTATTATTTTCATTCATTAACATTGTGTTGCTCCACAAACAGAGAATGTATTTACTATTTATTTTATCTTATTTATATTTCAATATGTATTCAGAATTTACCTCATAAGCGGATAGGCCTACCGGGCAACCGAGCATTTCCCGGTGGGCCCCCCCCCCTTCGTATTTTGGTAATGGGGCCCTTTAATATCATATATTATTAAATTCTTTTTCATGTGGGGCCCCTTTTTAACATTTTCCGCCCATGATTTACCTTATTACCTTATATAAACAGAAAAAAACAATAAATGTTTATTTTAAATTTTATTGAGAAGGGGCCCAAGTCAAAAATTGGTACTTATCAGGAAAAGGAATAACATTTTTACCTCCTTTAATGATATTATTTTACTACATATCTATGTTTAAATACTTAATTATAATTAAGTCAGACTTATAAAATCATTTTTAACATTTAAGAAAAATTTGGTAATTTTAATTGACTCGATACATTTGATACTTAAATAATAATAATTATACTTTTGACTAGTGACCTTTTGCACTATGAAGTTTATCTATTTTAAAATAAGACAATGTGAATAATGTTTTGTCAAGCCATTGGCGCCTTGATACATTTTTCTAGGTGAGGGGGGGGGGGGGTTAGCCTTCTTATAGTATACCTATATTGATTTTTAATTAACTTGTTTTTTTATTTTTTTATTATTTTTTTGATCTACAGGAATATCCTGAAATTTTATTAGATCTAAAGTTTTTAATTGTTCCTCTTTATTTTATTTTTATTTGTTTCCAATCCTGGATTTCTTCTCAAGCAATCTGTTTCCAAATTGTCTTTTCCTGGGCCATATTTGATTTGATAATCATCTTGTAACAGTATTAGTATTTGAAATCTCCTAGTTCTCTCATTAGTCCTAGATTTAATGTTCATATTTTCTAATGGTTTATGGTCTGTATATATTATATACTTTAAATGATTTACCTATAAAGGGCTTAACTGGGACATCATTTCAAGTTTTTTAATTATTACTGAAATTCATTCCAGAATCATCACATAACACTGTAACAAGAGGAAACAGACTATTTATCTTTTTAATGAAAATTAAACTTGGTATATCATATTCAGCTATAAGTACATTTTTTAACATAAGTCGTTCAACAGTTACTAGAATATTTAATGATTGTTTACATTCTTTGTCAATTAAAACTAAAAACTTTATTTTTTGGCCAGATAAAAATACTATTTCAGCAACATTGCCTGAATCATTTAAAATAAATTATCCTAATTGCTGATGTATTTTCGATTGTACAGAAATAAAAACTGAACAACCTAATACAGTAGAACAAAGGGTATATAATATGTACTCTAGGTACAAAAGTTGTTATACTATTAAAATTTTAGTGGTAATAACACCGAATGGAATGATAAGTTTTGTATCTAAATGCTAGAGGAGGAAGGACTAGTGATTCGTTTATTACAAACAATAGTGGTTTCTTTTCAAAATTAGAATTGGGAGATATTGTATTAGCAGACAAAGGATTTCCTGGTATTAAAGCTTCTTGTGAAAACTCGAACTGTATTTTAGTAATGCTTCCAATTTTGCACCAGGGTAGATTCACTGAATATGAAGTTATGGAAACCCATACCGTAGCTAGTGTGGGTATTCATATTGAGAGAGTGTTTTTTAGACTTAAAACACATGGTATACTAAATAAAATATCCATGGATTTAATGCCAGTTATTGATGACATTATTCATATTTGTTGTGTATTAACTAATCTCCAATTGCCAATATTAAAGAAATAATTTTAAGTTATCTTATAAGTACAGTTTTTTTACATATTATGTATAACAAATATCAATGTAATAGCACAGATTATATGTTTGAATAATAAAAACAAATTAAACCAATATATAAGTATTCATCATTCAATTTATTCAAATTTTGACAATGAACTTACTTAATCGTTATAAATTTTTCAAATAAAAATATTAATTATACTTTCAAACCATAAAAAAACAAAAAACAAAAATAAATTTAAAACATAACTAGTACAGTTAAAATAAAAAAAAAAACATTTATACATTTACTGGACCAATTTTTGAAGATAAAAATTAAAATAATAATATTTCATTCTTTTTAACAATGATTCTATGAAATACTTATCTTTTTCATTGCTATGGAAATGGGAACTTTTTTTAATTCTGGTTTTTCATTTTTATTTATTTGAATATATTTTAAATTTGGTTTACCGGTTACTATATGATGGGTTTATTTTTGCAAATTGGACATTTTATTTCTAGAACACTTTCCACTATACCAGCATCACTCAAAATTATTCCATCTGGACTAGCACAAATCCAGGGTCTTACAGAAWCAATGACTAATCCACATTTCAATATTTTTTTTCCAAACAATTGTTTAAATTCATTTATCGCTATTGACTCAGTTTCTTTCCCATACTTAACATTTATATTGCCTTTATTACCTAAATTATTGTCTAAAAAAAATATTTGATTTAGTTGTTTTAAACCTTCTACTGTCCAGTTTTTACAAGTTTTAATCTTGTGTGCTTTGGCACTTGCTGATAATTGATACACCATTTCTTTTTTCCACTGTTCACTTTCTACCTGAGATAAAGTTTGAATAAAAATTTCAAACATTTTTGATTTTGTTAAATATATGTTGTTATAATAAAAGTTATGTTCTAAAAAATTTAATGGAAACATTGCCAACTTAATAAGTTTAGGATTTTGATTTTGTTTAAAAAATATTGTTGATAGATATATGTCTTTTATTTATATTAATTATTTGTTCAAATTCAATTTTATCTATAATAGAATAAAGACAGTCTTTACACTCTCTTTCAACATCAGTCATAAAATTTTCTTTTAAAATAATATTTAAGCTACAAGGAATTTCAAGAATATTATAGTCATTAACAAGAGTTTGATGACTTGTAGAATTAGCTATTATACTTAATGGCCGTGGT